AATCTTCCTATCCCTTCATCCTAAAGATTTTCACACACATTTTCTTTCAATGCAAAATAAAAAACTGCATAATTGTGTTTCAGTGTTTGAAAGCTCACAAGAAAGACTGTTGGGTTTTTATTTCATGAAATTCTTTACCATCCTGAATTTGTTCCAGGAGACATGTTTTTCACTCTGGGCTTATTGATCTTATGGCAAACACTTTTTTTGTTTTTGTTTTTGTCTTAAGTAAAATGAATGACTAGATTCAGTCATCAATCCAGGAACCAGGTCTGACATAAACCTTGGTCTTTTGTACTGGACAATTTGGAAAGCTTTATAAATGTATTCATTTCTTTCCATTTCTTTGTGGCTTAAAAACCTTTGAGATTGTAACTGTGCTTGCTCGGGTGACTATCAGGTACAGTGTTCAAAGGTTTCCACTGTGTGGTTCATTTTCTCAGTTAATAGATTTAAACTTGGGAATAACTCACTGAGGATACCTTTCCCTTCAGTCACTTGAATGATTGTTAACACACAAGTAGCAGTTATTATAATAGCCCGTGGTGTAGAGGTTTGGATCCTAAAACTGATTTTTAAAAAGAGATGTGTCTGTGTAGTAAGATATTATACAACCATTAGAAACAATTATACAAATACATCTGTTTCCATGGAAAGGTGTTTGGGAATATTGCCATGGAAGGCAAGGTTCACAGTGGGCTTCTAAATACACATAGTTCTAGAGTAGGTTATTTTATTTGTGACAGGTTGAGATAGTGAACCTAGGGACTTGGCCTAGGCAAGTGCTCTATCATTGAGCTATTCCAGACCTTTTTTTTTTTTTTTTTTCCAGATGGGATCTCTATAAGTTCCGTGGGCTGGCCATGAACTTGCTATCCTTCTGCAGCAGCCTCCTAAGTAGCTGAGATTATAGGCACGTGCCACTCGACTTGGCTTGAAATGTTTTTGTGTGCTTGTTTTTGTTTGTTGAGGCAGGGAGGGTCTCTCTATGTAGTCCAGACTGACCTCTAACTCGGGAACCTTCCACAGCCTCCCAAGTGCTGGGATTACAGATATGGACTGCCACCCCGGCACATTGATTCTCTATGGTGTTGGAGCAGCATTCCACAGAAACCAAACTTCAAATTTTTTTATCTTAGACTAGTGCTGTGCAATACAGTACTTCCCTAGGATGCTGAATAGTGACAGAAAGTAGCAGCTCCTACTCAGCACCGTGGTCGAGAGGGAAAAGAACCAATTTCCTAGTGTGCTATGCTGCTAAGCTAGGATGTTTAGTAGGTTAGCTGGGTAGATGCATTGTTCCACTTAGGATATTTGGAAATATGAGTTTATCAGGATGTAACCCCACCATAAACCTAAGAATTTCAATATTCAAACTCTTTATTTGAAAAAAGACAGGACTATAGCCTATCCTTCCTTCTGTGCACAGAGGTTATTGGCCCATGTTGCTAAGAAAGACAGAGTGGAGTTGACCACAAGGATGACTTTATCTTGGGATTAGTGCTTCCTCTGTGTGTGTGTGTGTGTGTGTGTGTGTGTGTGTGTGTCCATGTGTGCATGTGCGCATAGGTTCCTTTTCTGCCTATGCTCTTAATCTGGACCAGCTTAGATACTTTGCTATCCAGTCACTGGACACATTCCTGCTGAGTTCCGTCTAGTTTCTGTGACATGTTTATATTAAATGAAAGGTTTCTGTGATACAGAAACTTGGTTTAAGTATACATTCTTACTGACTTCATGTCCATTGTTATCAAACCTTAATAATGTCTTTACTGTTTCCTTTGCCATCTTAGAATCAAGATAGCTGAACATTAAAACACTAATCAGGAAAATATTGGACCTGGACAGTGCTATGAGTCCTTTTTCTTAGATACTGTGATTGCCCAGGCCCTTTGACTAGCCCATGTGTGAGATAAGGTTATGGAGTTGGAGAGGGTAGATGGGTAGGATTTTGTGCCAGCTTGCGGCACCTACCTACAACATGCCTGGAGTGTGCTTCCTCTTCCCAGAAGGAGAACCCTACATTCCTTTCCCAGCCTTGGCTGAGTGAGAACACTCTTCCCATAGCACTGCTTTTTGTCCCTTTTGTCCCCCTGTACTTAGATTGGTGTGTGTGTGTGCTAATGTGCAGTCAAAGGAAT